CCCCTTCCGTTCCCTGTAGGATCTCTCTCTTCGCGAATGATCTATCAATTTTCTGTCTAATATAGCGCAATAATGACGAGAGAGCTACATTAAGGGTCATATGATTCTTCCCATTACTACTGGCTACATCCTCATAGTTTCCAGAGCTCGAAACAAAAATGCACCATCTTTCCGCGCGTGCTTTAATCGTTAGGAAAGTACAGTACGAGGATAGTAATTCGTTCTGTGCTATAAGCTACTTGTATTGCAGAACAAGTTAAAGTTGATGAGCATGAATGTCAGTGCCATGGTTGCGTGAAAAAGCGGCAACAAAAGGAGGCAAATCGACCATGGAAAAGGACAAAGAAAATCTTAACTATTGTCGTAAGTAACCTTCTTAGTTGTATTTCCATTTATGGTCTTTTCCATTCCTAATTTCAGATTCTTCTACTAGCATGGGTTGTGTTTGCACTAATAGTGAAGAAAGTGACAGAAATTGAAGTAACTCATGAAGAATATAATCCTTATGCAATTCTTGGTCTAGATCAGGTACGTAAATCGGTTGTTTATTTGATTATATTGAAATCGGGGATTTTCCATTTTAGGGAGCTGAACCAGCAGCTGTGAGGAAAGCATATCGCGAGCTTTCAAAAAAACTTCATCCTGACAGGGGCGGTGATGCAGTGATGTTTGATAAAATTGCGAAGGCCTATCAAGCTCTAACTGATGAAGAGTCACGAGAGAATTGGGAGAAGTACGGTAATCCTGACGGCCCCACAGGTATTTTGCCTTATTCTCATTCAGTTCATGGATTCCTCTTTGTTTTTAAATCCCATTACAATTTTTTCAGCAACAACGTTCGGTATTGCATTGCCGAAATGGCTGGTGAGCAAAGAATATGGGTTGTGGGTACTGGCTTTTTACGGGCTTTTATTCATGGTTATCTTGCCAGTAGCTGTGGTGAGCCTTTATATCTTACATCGCTTCTTTCATTTTCGTATTTCTAAGTAGGTGTGCTGTGTTTAGGGTATTTGGTGGTATAACTCGATAAAATACAATGTTGATAAAGTGTTGTTGGACACAACGCAGCTGTTCTACTACTTTTTGCATAAAACTCCAAAGATGGAAATCAATCGTGGGTCGACTGAAGTTTTCCCTTTTACTTCCTTCCTCGTATTTTTTCACTCAACGCACACCGCTAGGAGTGCNATTTTATGGGCGTAAAGTTGTTATTGTCTATGTAATTCAGGTATGTTGATGCTGCTGGGAGGGGCGTTCGAATTTTGGAAGCAGTACAATAAAGAAATCATCGAAAGAGAAACGGACGATGTTGAATTGACTCGGTACAGTTATTTCCTCGAGTGATTCTCCGTTGCTTCTTTGGTCACCACTTTTGTCGGATATATTCAGGCGAATGAAATCGCTTCCGAATCTTGGCGAAAATAAAAAGGAACGTCCACTTTCGCTTCCCTATTCACTCAAAGCTCGAATTCTAATCCATTCTTATCTCACTCGTATTCCATTGGACAATGAAGGGCTCGAGTATGACCAACGGTCGGTATTACAAGTATTTCGCTTTTATTATCTACCATGGCAAAAGTTGTCACAGGCTTTGGTAATTTTGTTGTCTAAGAGTGTATAGGTAGTATCCCTAGCAACTTTTTCAGTTATGTGCTTCTTCGTGTGCTTCGCCTTACCGAAGAAATGATATCGATTTCTCAGCAACTAACATTTTATTCTCAGGTTGGCGTTTTTAGGGCCATTTAATTTCTGCAAAATAAGTTCATGAAATATTTCAGACCAAAGTACCCATAGAAACTTTGGATAACCTGCTGCGACTACAGCCAATGTTTGTGCAAGCCTTATGGCCGAAGAATAGCCCTTTGCTCCAACTACCACACATCACTGATCACAATCTTCCCTATCTTAGAAAAGTTAGTCAGAATGTTTCATTTTTCTTTTTCATAGTTACTCATTTAGACTGATGCAGAAAGAACAAGAAGGGTGATATGATTACTATCTCCAAGAAGTAAATCAAATTTAATCATCATCTTTAGGGGCGTGTATATTCGTGCGGAGATTTAGCGGCATTAGACGGAGAAAAGCGACGTGCTCTTCTCAAGTCCTTATCAGACGAAGAATATCGTGATGTACTTGTAGTACTGTCCTCCATGCCACGACTATCTATCCAAACTACTGTTGTTGGTGGGTTTCAATAATATATTTTTCATTTACATGCTTATTTATGCATGAACAACAATTGCTATCTCCAACCTGACTTCCAACTCAGAGTTGTTGCGTTATTGTGTGACTACAGCTATCAGGAATGAGGCGCAGCTGTGAACATTTACAACACACTGGGCACACCTTTGATTATTTATAACTTTAAGAACTCCTGAACTGAACTTCACTGCTTTTAGAGGGTCTGTCAGAAATGGATCCCTGATTAGGGCTAAGGAGCCACTTACGTTCATCTTACTCCACAGAAATTTTTACTACTCTTGAGTTATTCTCTCCTTATAATTGGTGTTGAACGAGTGCATGCTGAAGCTTTGCGTCACTTTGAGCAACATACTGGCTGTTACTCCATTAGTGATCCTTGCTTTCGGCAATATTTGTCATTTGTTCTTGATTTGATCAAGCCATTCTTATGTTGTTCTTCACAGTTCAGCATTGTTCTGTTTTAGTGGAAGGAGAAGACGATGCATTCGAAGTTACTGCTGGCTGTGTTGTTACCATCAAGGTTTCACTCCAAAGAACGAGTTTATTGGATCCAATTGTAGGTTTTCCCCAAGGTACTTAGTGTGTGCTCTACGGTACTTTGATTTACACCATTCGTTCTCTATTATGAAATGGTGATACATTTTTCGAATGAGCTTTAAACTTTTGAAATAAGTTACTTCACGTTTTTCTCTCATTTTTGCCATATGCTTTTGTTTTTTTTTTCAAAATTTTGATTGTAGGCAGCTGGATTAGAGGACCAAAGAGTGCACGTAGGAGAGGAAGCTGATGGTGATGCTAGTGGATATAGCGATCAGGAAGATGAGGAAATTAATGCTGCAGGCGATGGCCTTATCAAGGAGGAGGAAATCAAGGAAGTCAAGGTTCGCTCTTTTCTACGAATTTTTACAAAATCCTGTAGAGATTTCCTGATGTGCCGTCTATACACTCAACTACACTGAGCCGGTAGGAAGAGCGTACTTGTTGAGAAACGGTAGTAAATATCGAGAAAATTGTATACTTTATCGCTGCCTGTTCACAAAAGGTTTAATGCAAATGAGCTCAATCGCTCTTGATTTACGATTGAGTGGAATACGTAAACTGGCTATAATGTATTGGTAGTTTGGGCTGGGACTGCACCAGAATGGTTATCAAATGAACATTGTTGCGCTTTTAGGGGAAATGAACGGTCCTGATTAGGATCCGTGGTTTTCTTCATAGCCTGGTTTCGATAGTGGTAATAAGCGCAGTTAGGTGTCAAGTGGTCCACAAGCACGGTGGAGACCAAGTTCTGGATCGACGCTTGCCTATGCTATTCGAGCCATCTACTTATCTAGTGTCGGTCCCCTTTGAATTGAATTATGCATCGACCTGCCCCCGTTGTACAAGGCACACACGCACTTAAACGCATTTTTGGACAGGAGCCAAGTGGGTGGGTGAATTCTGAAACGGGACCAACCAATTTGAAGAAATTAGCATCCAATTTTTAATGGTGATGATGTGCTTTTTATCATTGAAAGAAACACAGTGTTTTTCGCCAGGAAAATTTAGTATTGCAGCTGTTGGAAAGGTAAATCATTAAGTGCATGATTGACTTTTTTCGATGGTTCAAGAATGCCTACCCTTTCCCTGGCCTTCTAATGTCCTTTGTGTGATAGAACCTGAGTAGCTCGCAAGAAGAACGAAAAAAAGCGTGTAGATTCAGCTTAGACACACCCAGCAAGGACATATCAAACATAAACCAACAAATGTGGTAACTAAATGGATTTGATTCAGTTCCGCCAGCATAAAGCCGTCTTGTAGTGCACTCCAAACTCATCGATTTATGAACTATGTGACTCGAATTTTCGCTTCATTGCTGACTGAAAGGCGAATATTACAGAAGAAGAAGCCTTGGGAGAAAAATCGTCCGCAAAAGAAGAAAGGCGGTGGAAAAAAGAAACCTCAAAAACAACAAGTTAAGAAAGTGAGTTTGATATGTAGTACTTTTTTTTTTGAAACCCTCAAAAAATCCTTTCTAGGTAGTCGCACCAGCGCCGGCAGCCCCTGTGGCTGCTGAAGATGAAGAGAAGAAAGAAAAAGATAGTAAGAATGAAAAGGATGATGATGATGATGACGAGGTGCGTTTTGCATTCTTCAACTTATACAGCAAGTACTTAAGGAAAAATCAAATATTTCAGGGGTCGTTATCATTATCAGATGCTCCTCCCAGGTTTGAAGATAGTGATGTGGAAGATGACTGGGAAGAGGGCTCTTTAAGAAAGGTGAGTTACTGAGTTTTCCATTTTTTGGGATGGCACACTGCAGAGAAGTTGTGTTTTCAGGTCAATTTGGATGCGAAATCTCATAAAACGCATCTGGTTCATTGCCCACATTTTCCTTCAGAGAAATATGAGTGGTGGTGAGTAGGCATCAGCTGGATTTTTCTTTAGTCATTCGATTAAGGAACGACTTCGGAAGAGGTTTATTATTTAGGTGGTTAGTGTTGACTATGTGGGATAAAAAACAGCGTCGTCTAGTCTGCCCTACTGTGGCATGCAAAACATTGGTCGACGAGCAAACGGTAAACTGTTTTGGCTTTCCCATATAAATCGCTCCGAAAGCTATGGTCAAAGTTACGAATTTCATGGTCTAATTGAGAGCTTCAGGTGGAAATGAGGTTTTCGGCACCGCCAGTGAAGGGCATATTCAATTATCAGCTAGCAGTTCGGTCAGATTCATATATGGATTGCGACTACAACAAAGATATTAAGGTTTATACTTCAACAAATCTGCTTCTAGCTTGCACCCCTAATGATTGAAGTATTTCAGCTTGAAGTGAAAGAAGCAAAAGAAATAGTGCTACCCAAATATGAAGACACCGAAGACGAAGATGAAAAAGTGTTAGCATCGAGCGATGAAGAGTACACAGAAGGAACGGATTCCGATGAGGAGTAGTCTGTTTCATCCAGTCGAATCGATGAATATGGGTCCTTAGACGATATTTCCCGCATTTGAGCACAACATCATTACAAGCAGAGGACACAGTGGTTCAGCAGTGACCGCTCTGTATTGTGCTCTTTTCGCAGCGGTATTTTATTCAAGTCGAGGCTTACTCGTACTTAATTGTGATACATAGATATTTAATTTACTAATTTATTAGTGTCAAATAGGTCTTCCCACTTATAATTACGTAGATATTTCGCTATCAAGTACAGTTGTTCAGTGTGGATCGTAGTTGCCCGTTCTGATGAAGTTCGAACAAATCCGAGGCACCTGAAATACTTTACGATCATGATTGTGAGCCTTTTCCTGTAGAGTCGGGCGTAAATTCTATTCGGGGTATCCATTGTTTTCTTACATACTATCAGCAGCCGAAAACTTGTCATGGCGGTACTTTGAGAGCGACTTAAAAACTGTTTTGAGTGCTTTTGTGACGCAGAACGTGCACTTTCTTTTTTGTTTTTTAGGTTATCCTTTTAGGCTATTGCAAAATTATGTGTAATCCCCCCTGAAAGCTTCCAAAACGGGAGGTTTCTTGAGCAGCTTACAAGGTGCCGTCAGTCGTTTTCTACGTCTAATCATTAAAAAATAGCTATGTGTTGCGATATCTGTATATGGTCGGCTGTTATGTTGTTGCGTTCCGCCATCAAATACTCCTGTTTTTATTGTGATTAAGTGCTCATTTGAAGCATGGATTATAAACTATCTTTTCATAACGCTCAAATTTGTGTTCTTCTCTGAACATCGTATTCCGTGCATCATTTCCGTAATCACTTTATATAGCGTTTGCTCTTCTTTATCCGACTTACCTGCGAGATGCTTAGGAACTCCTGACCTCTCGATAACCCTAGTTGAGGAGCGATTTCAACACTCACAAATGATTAGATTATAGAGTTGAAAGAATAGGAACGAGGAGATAGGTCAGGCAGTACTTTTGGTTGGAGATGATATAATCCATTCCATTATGAAACTTCATCAGAAGACTTCTTCACGTTCAAAGCACCAGCGATGACCTTGATGGAAGTATATCCTTCTCTGTAGAGCCTTCCCAGGTTCATATAAAACGATTCTGGCTTCTTTTCATGAAAGATGGATGTTGCCGCGTCGGAGGCGAAGATTGGTCGTGCTGGGGTGAAACTTGTTCATTCACCAATATGATCAGTACTGTCGGGCTTTCGCACGAATAGATGTTTATGGATAAATACGTGCTGACGAGTATCCTACATCGCCAATGCACCTGTTGTCGCATGTTTCCGTCGGTGTCGAGATGAGCGTTTTGATATTGTCAGAAAGTGAATGGTAATCCATTGCGGTTCCCATAGAACTTAAGCTTATTTCGATTCATTGTCGAGATTGAACGACGGTAGGCCCTATGGTCTTGACCCCTTTTCTACATTACGTAATTCTATAATATATTTTTTCTGGCACCCAATTCATGCTACCTGAAGCATATCTCAGGAGTTGCCATCACAGGAGTTTTGTTTTGAAGAATAATCACGACTCACCCCCGATATGTCGTCCACAAATAAAAATATATGGAAAAGTTATTTGTCCTGTCATTCGATGCAGATCAACCTGGAGTTGTCGTTGCCAGTCTTCGTGGCCGACGAGTTCTGAAGCAGTAACAATGAGGTGCGAAGGTTTTCTTTTTGAGCCACATAAACCACAAATACCATGTACAAGTGGCTCACCTAAAAAGTAGGCTGCAGCATCCGCGTAGTTCACTGCGAGCAAGTGCTTGGCTCGTTGACATGGGACACATTGAACCAACGTGTACATCATAATCGGATAGCGCTTTGCTTGACGTTGTATATATCCTACAATCCCAACTGAATTTCCATGTTGTTCGAAAATAAAATGCTTATTTGTTACTGCTTGGAATTCCTTTTTTGTTTACTAAACGAGATGTAATCCCTCAACTAACAACGCTCGTTTTTTACTCTTTCTGAATGGAAATTTATTTATATAATCGGTATCACCTGTGGTCCCGTCGATAATCGATTTTCTCGTGAGGCTACTGCAAGTTCAAGAGAATAAGGCCTATTAATGTTGTTGTTTTTGGCATTTGGGATTCAATCCGGGTAGCTAGCTAGGATATCCTTAGACAACGGGCTTAGATGCTGGAGGCAGCCCAAAATCGCCCCCTTGAACTTTTCAGTCAATACATTTATATACATATTTAGATTTATTTTCATGCAGCCTCCATCGTATTCTTACCGAAATTTCTATTCCTTACTGAAAATTGCAAGCTATTATCATGGGCTTTACTCCAAAGTTGTTCCCATTGTGCCCTCGGCTTTATGTCGACCAAGTCTCGTCCCGATGCTTCCGCGCTTCGTACCAGCTAGGTAAACTGGCATCTAGACTACGTACTACATACACTGACTGGTATCGTAGCTTGTTATGATCATTTACTGTGAAATGCCTTTAGTCGGAACGATGTCAGAGCCAGTAATGGTCGACATCGTTCCGACTAAAGGCTAGTAAGACTAGTAATGGACAGTGAAGTCAGAGTGTCCAGTTGTGAAGCAGCATCTTACCTCACACTGCAACGGTTCGTTTTTTGAAGCATCGAACCGACAGTGGTCAAAAATAATTTGAAAGCAGCAACATATGGAATACCAATAGCTTATTGGTATTCAGAGCTACTCTGCGTCCCTTTGTAACTCTGTTCCTCATGTCCACGTTTCTGAGGTCTCCAAGTGAAGTATGAGACAGAACATCAAAGGATCAAATCGAAAGCCCAATTGAAAATTTGAAATTGAAAGTTTTTGGAAGAACGGCAAGCCTAATAGACGCTTCACAAAGTCCTTTTTTTCAACGCTTCCTTTTTTTACGAGTTGTCCAAGTGATTCTCTGCCGGAAAGTCGATGTGGAATTCGTCCTATCCGGCCTACTGTTCTTTACATGATCCAGAACTTCAATGCAGTGATTCAAATCGATAAAGTTCACCTGCGTATGAATAGCCCATAGTGTGAGCAGGTCTTCCATTGTGGAACACTGGGTACTGAAAAGGAGCTATTTCAGTAATTCTGAATCACTCTTGATCATTTGTTCGTCCATAATGGTTAAACTCTTTTCTCCGCATTATTTTTTACATTGCTGACCTTGACATCTGGCCTTGATATCTGTGGTTCAGGAACCCGAGAACGCTCCGTTGGAGGTCCGAACCGCCGATGATTATTCCTGTGTTCTTCAACGAGGAATACACCCTGCAATTGAGAATACAAATAGAATAGTGCCTTTTGTTTTGATCATTTCAATGGTTAGGAAGTTTGGTGCAGAAATGTTTACTGAGCAGCAGATATCCAAGTCTAATATTTGAAGGGGGATGCTGACTGCTCTCTTGCGATAGCACTGCTGAAGCTTTGTAGCCACTCATATTTTTAGTGGAAGCAATACTCAGTGGTAAAGATCGAATTACACGCTTTCGTTGACACTAACACTTTTTTAGGCAACATAGGCATAGACCACACACTCAACCGAACCGCTACCATGGAAATGGAAATGGAATGGAAATCAAATGCAGGGCGCATCCGAAATACGGGTGATTAGTGCGCAAGAGCTTGTCCTTTGTTATCCTTCAGTTTTCATTCGTGATGAGCGGTAACCAGTGCAACAAAGATCGTTATCAGTCCAATGGTTCCATGGCTTCAGTTGCACCTTCTTTACCAATGATCAAAACCCTTCTTCGCCTGGTACCCAATTCTGGGATAAACATACAGGGAATAAAATTTCGATGAAGTGTTGAAAGGTTTCGAGCACTGAAGCGGTTGTTTTTGAGTTTCATCGTAAACGTCGGTACAAAAAAAACATGGCTCAAGTTGGAGATAAGCGTAATTACTAACAATTTTACAGAAACCTTCAGAAATTCAAGGTAAAGTGAATGCGAAAAACCATCTCATGCAAAACAGAACTCACCTACCTGTTCAGGAATGAATTCCGTTGTGAACGGCTGTCCATAAGAGCCTGCATGTCTTCCATTTTGAGCATGGGTTGGCCATACCTCTGGAAATAATTCTTGTTCAGTGTTTAATATCCCTGTCTCCCCAGATTTGACACACACCTCTTACGTATTCGAATCTAGCCCCTGATGCTCCACTGTAATTCTGATGCTGAAGCCTATCGTAACAAATGTAAAGTATTTGGCCTTATGGCGCTTCTAAGAGGGCATGTGCGTCCACCTCCAAAGTTTCAAATTCGGCGAGTAAGCTGAAGATCTTATGGACGGGCTGCTGTGATCATGAAATGTATCGTGCACAAGCCCTTTATAGTGTTTTCATGAGAACTTAAAGAAAGTTCCAAGAAGAACCTGGACTATAATGAAACTGTTGGCAGATACTTTCGTGCTTCCTATTATTCCTTGACAGAACGGTGCATACCGATATACATTCTGTGAGTGAGAACAAGTGCTGGGTATTCATTACCATATTCCTAGGCATAACAAGACCGACATAGGGCATCTACAGAGCGTTCGAGAAGCGACTATGCAGTAGTACTGTCGTGTTGCTGAGGACAAGCACCTTCAGGCATTCCTTTTTTCAGGGCGCCATAATTGTAGAGCGGTACCGAAGCAGCTAGCCTTTGTAGGCAAAAAAATAGAAGTGAAACTGAAGGGGATTATTTACTGAGAATGGGATCGCTTTGGGAGTGCGTTGAATGGAAAGGCTTGTAAAAACAACTCGTCCACTATAGGAAGACGTTGTTTATGGAAACCTGGCAAGTCACATTCGTAACGTCAACCATGATATTCACAATGTCTTCAAGAGCCTGCAGAAGCGTGTGCCCTCAGAATGAAGGGGATCACTGTCTTAATAGTCTTCACTTCAATACAGTAATTTATAAGCTGCATAGTTAATTAGTGAAGTTTGTGCATTTCAATAAATGTTGACGGCTGAGGATATCAAAAGGCTCAGTCGCCGCCATCGGGAGCAATCTCTGTCATTGCTGGTCGTGTCACGGCTGTCAACGTTGGTCATCTATTTGCTCACACCAATGATCCCTTCCATATGGGCTGTTTCAAACAGAGTGGATGATAACTGTGCTCCACAGAAAGGGTTTTGGCCAAGACGAACAAGCCGAGGCTTTCTTCGATGAATGAAGGCATTGGAAACAGAATGAAGGAGACTCTTGAAAAAAACTTTTAATTAGAGATGGTTTCATAAGGTCGATTTGAACGTGGAAATCATTCTTTTCCTTTTGTAGTAAATAATCGATGTCGAAAAGATTAGTTCCCGTTACTGATTTGACTAGCCTCCGAGACTGAGACAAACCAACAACAGCTATTACTTGGACCATACTGAGATTAGTAGGGGCGGAGGTGGTGTGGGAGACTGAGATTAGTGGAGATTTAGTCATGGGATTAGTACCTGTTTCAGCGCTCTGCTCCTCAATGGGAAGTGAATAAAGCGTTCTTGACGATTCAGAAGGAGATTGCCGTCGGTCGATTCCGTAATCAGCGTAGTCATCGAATGAGCCTCCAAAACTTTTCTGTCTCCCCACATCCATAGCTTCACGGCCGAGAGTAGTGGATCCAAGAATCAGCCGAGGATTAGTGAGAATCAGAAGAATCAGCATTGCCGGTTCGAAAATGACCGACGATGTCATTGGAAAACAGTTTGTAGAGGTGAGACCAATAATAGCAGCAAATCGGTGCTCTGACTTTGATCCACGGGCTCAAGGGGACGCAAGGGACCCGCCCACTCGATCCAACGTTTGGGATCCTCGTATATAAAGGAATGCAATCGAACCGCACAGAACTATGTTATGTGAAGCTCTTAGAGAGAATGGTTTACCTTGATGATCATACTCAAAAGGTTCGTGTAGAAGGGTAGTATTAGCCAACCGCTCTGAGATCGAGTTAATAAACGCAAAAAAGTGCATGACTATATTGGCTTGTATTGCAATGCGTAGAAAAAGTTGCTGGTAGTGGTTTTCCGATTGTCCTCATCATACACGGGTCGGCTCAACGTGAAGACGATTTTACGCAAAGAATCAAAGGAATGAAGGCTTCCTTGACCATGGGCGTATGATGAGTTTTGAGGTGAGGTGATAGTTGTGGTGAAGCAAAAGATCTCCACACACCTAAGTAGACTTCCTTTCCTTCCTTTTTACTACTTGAAACTTATCAAAAGCAACATCTCAAAGGAATCAACCAGAAGTCAGCTGAATTTCCGGTAGCCTTCCAAAATAGCTTCTCGAAGGCGAGCGCAAAGAGTATATTGTATTCATACGTAAGACTTTAGAGTGTCGCTTTATGTCGCTTTATGTGCGTCAGCTTTGTTAAATGTTCTTTGAAAGTGCTTTTCGATTATCTCAGTCCCTTATAGTGTAGAGTATAAGCCACATACGTATTCAATACACCACCACAATTCTGAACGGGAGCCGGACGTGAGATCTTGCCATCTTGGGCGCATCAGGATGTGTGGGCGCATCCCAAAAACGAGATGGATCACCGTCCCATTCTTCTATGCCATAGAGTACTCGGTATAGGCAACTTCATAGACCGCAAAATGGATCCCAAATGAAACACGACCCTGCTTGCCCAATATACTTATTTTCAGCACTGCAAATGGTGAAATGTAAGTTGAATGAATAAGAAATCCAGTTTACCTCAGAATATGCAATTTTTTCATTTTGTATGGCATATGCAAAGGAAAAAATCTTTATCCAATCCCAGCAACTGCTCGACACGTTCGAATTGTCATGGAATACGACTACTCAAAAGAGTCTATATATATTTCGACGTCCGTTTAGGAACCTTCAATCTATCTCTAAAGAGACTGTTGATAACAAAGAACAATCTGAAAGTCTAGAACGTGTTAACAACATACGGCCTAAAAATGCACGAAATTTCCGAGAAGATAGTGTCAAATATGGAGTTAACACCAACGTAGGAGATGTGTGAGTAATCATCTTGGGCAGTTAAAAAGAGAGAAGGACCAATTGATGAAAGCATTTTGAGAAGTATTCAAAAACAAAAAACTTTGAAAACATTCACAACTGAAAGATGCACGGAAACAGGGGACAGGCATCCCACTGTCTTCATTTTTTCACAGCTTGTTGGGCTGTCGTTATGATTACTGGGGTGCCATGTCTTCCTTCTTTGATCCGTTAGATTAAAAAGCCTTATTTTTTGAGCCAAACACGACTACTATAACTTCTAGCTCTGCATATAACGTCGAGAAGGTCACTACTCCGATCCATTGAGAGATTCGTCATTCGACCATAGCACTCATATCTTCGATTTACATCCCTCGCTACACCTGAACAATGAGGAACAATCAATATTATTGCTGTTGTGCCACATATAAATGGTAAGGTACTTAAGGATCTAATGATTACCTTTTTTGTGTTGTTTCATTCAACCTGGTTTCTGTTGGAAACAGAAAGGTGTGAGGGTAAGTTAATGTTAAGATCTCACATGTGGAAGGAAAAATGTTGGACCAAACCTCTGGGGATGAGAGGAGGCCAAGAGAAAAAGAGAAAGGGTTCGTGTTTTCGAATTAAGAGCGTATGATTGCCAAGGGAGGGAGGGAAAGGAAGTTTCGCAAGGTGTAAAATTCTGAAAGCCTCACCTACAAGGGATCCCAAATGTTCGTTGCTGCATGACTTCCTTTGAATAGCAAAATACCAACTCTTCACCTGTAATGTACCATTGAGGGGCCGATATCAGAATCCCAGAATGATGTGATCGAGATTCTGATGGTCGACTTACCGATTTCAATGTCTCTAGTCGTGAAAAAGGCCAGATCATGAGTTACCATATTCCCACGTGTGAACAGTACTTTCGCTTCCAAAGTCGGATTAACACATGTATGATTGAAAAATCTGAAAATCCTGATGAGCATTTCAACTTTTTTTAATCCGTCTTATTTTTCAACTGACCGCGATATGTTGCCGCTCCATGTACCATCGATGGCGTATTTTTGTGGTTCGCCCTCCACTTGTTCCTTAAATATTCCATTGTGACATCTCGTTCTTCAAGGCATTTTGTTATGAGTACGCATTGATATCTTTTTTTTTG